CAGAGAAAGAGAGGAAAGAAAATGGAGTGGCACAACAACTGTTACAGAGAACTTGAGCATGACATAAATTGTGATGATGGCACAGGATAGGGCATGGTTCTTATTTTTTGTTCTAAAGATTGCTATGTGGGGAAAAGATGAACAGTCTATACTCTTGTTTTTATTATATTCGTTTATTTACAAAATTCAAATACATTGTTCACACTCTTGAAAAGATGTGAAACCTTAGCAACCCTTAGATGAAAGATCATTGTGAGTCAGAACTGACTTTGCAGCTGTGGGTCTAGGTGAGTGGTTACTAACATTTTGTTAGGTGCCATGGAGTTAAGTATGAATCATAGAAACCCTATGAACTGATCAGTACCATCCTTACAATCTCTGTCACACTCAAGCGCATTGCTGCAGTCACTGTGTCAATCTGTTTTGTTGAGAGTCTTCCTTTTTTTTGCTGACCCTACAACTTTCTAAACAAGATTTCCCTTGCCAAAGTATAACCTCTATTAGCAACATGCCCAAAGTAAGTGAGACAAAGCTATGTATCATCTTTGCCTCCAAGGAGCACATTGGCTGCACATTCTCCAAGGCATATCTGTTCTTTTGGCAGTCCATGGGATATTCAGCACTCTTCTCCAAAACTGTTGTTCAAAAGCATCCATTCTTCTTTGGTCACCCTTATTCATTGCCCAGCTCTGAGATGTATAACAAGTTATTAAAAAGACTGTGGCCTGAATCAGGTGCACCTTAGTCCTCAAACTGGCATTATTGCTCTTCAATAATTTGAAGAGGTCTCTAACTGCAGACTTTTCCAGTGAAATACATCTCCAATCTCCTGATTGTTGGTACTAAGTAAGTGTATTGATTTGGAATCCAAGTAAAATGAACTTCTTGACAGTTTCAATCTTCCCCAACACCACAATTCAAAGGCATCAATTCTTCTGTCATCCTTATTCATTGTCAAGCTCTCAGATGCGTTGCTGTTGTTGTTGTTGTTATGTGCCGCCCAGTCCTTTGCGACTCATAGTGACCCTATGTACAACGGCCCTAAACCCTGCTTTATCTTGTGCCAATCACATTGCCTTTGACACACCCATCCCAATTACCCCAGTCCCTGAATCAATCCACCTCATAGAGGGTCTTCCCCTCCTGTACCACTGTCCCTCTACTCCACCCAGCATGATGTCCCTCTCCAAAGACCTGTCTCTCTTTGCAACATGTCCAAAGTATGTCAGACGAAGCCCCAGAATCTTTGCCTCCAAGGAGCAGCCTGGTTTAACCCTCTCTAGGATGAAACTGTTTGTTTTCTTGGCAGTCCATGGTACATTCAGTACTCTTCTCCAGCACCACAGCTCAAAGGCGTCAATTCTCCTTCTGTCCTCCCTAGTCATTGTCCAGCTCTCTGATGCATAACAAGTGATTGCAAAGACCATGGCCTGTATCAGGCGCACCTTTGTCTCCAAAGAGACACCGTTGCTCTTGAGTACTTTAGAAAGGTCCCTAACAGCAGACTTTCCCATTGCAATACGTTTTTTGATTTCCTGGCTGCTGGTGCCAAGAGTGTCGACTGTGGAGCCGAGCAAACTGAAGCTGTGAACAATCTCAATCTCTTCGCCATCCATCCTGTCACTACCAATTGGTCCAGTGGTGAGAATCTTTGTCTTCTTGACATTGAGCCTCAGTCCATACTGAAGGCTGCAGTCCTTGACCCTCTGCAGTAAGTGCATGAGGTCCTCCTTAGTTTCAGCGAGCAAGGTTGTGTCATCGGCGTAACACAGATTGTTGATAGATCTTCCACCAATCCTAACGCCACGCGTCTCCTCATAGAGCCCAGCCTCTCAGATAATCTGCTTTGCATACAGGTTTAAAAGGTATGGAGATATTACACATCCCTGGTGCACACCCTTCCCAATTTTGAAACATTCAGTGTTGCCCTGCTCTGTTCTGATGACTGCCTCTTGGTCCAAGTATAGGTTTCGCATTAGCATGATTAAATGTTCTGGGATTTCCATTTTTCTCAGAGTCAGCCACAGTTTGTTATGATCCATGCAGTCAAAAGCCTTTGCATAATCAATGAAACACAGATAGACATTCTTCTGGTATTCTCTGCTTTCAGCTAAGATCTATCTAACATCAGCTACAATATCCCTAGTACCACAACTCCTTCTAAACCCAGCCTGGACTTCTGGCAGTTCTCTGCTGATGTGCTGTTCCAGTCGTTTTTGGATACTCTTCAGTAGGATGCATAGCAAGTTATTTAAAAGACCACTGAGACAAATACTCTGTAAGACCATTATTGTAGAACAAGTACGAGAATCCAAGGAGGGGCCAGGGGAGTAGAGGAATGAGCATGGGGTGGGGTTGGTGACTTAATTATATGGTCAACAATTTTATGGGTGGAGGGAGGCATGGATAAAGGAAAGGGGAAAGGTTAGTGTGAAATACCATGTATACAAACTTTGTAAGTAAACCAGTATAAAATTTAATAAAAAAAATAACAAACTATTAAAACTAGTAGATCAATTTTAGTAAGGTGGCAGGATAGATACAAGATCAGTATCCAAAAATCAGTGGATTCCTCCATAGTAACAAAGAGAACTCAAGAGAAAGAAGTCAAGAAAGCTATACCATTTATAAATAGCCGACCACAAACTGAGATACTTGGGAGTGAAACTAGAGACACAAAAGACCTATGCAAGAAAACAATAGAATATTTATGCAAGACACAATAAAAAAAGACCTAAGTAAATGGAGAAATAAACCTTGTTCATGGATAGGAAAACTCAATATTGTGAGAATGACAATCCTACCAAAAGCACAATCCTATGTGTTCAACACAGTCCCAATTCCAGATACGAAATTCATTTTTCAAGGAGATCAAAAGGGAAACTAAGTTTATTTGGAGAAGCAAGAGACCCCCAAATGAACAAAACACTTCTGAAAAACTAAAATGATGTGGGAGGCAAAGCACTCCTTGACCTCAAAACCTACTAAACAACAGGAGTAAGGAAACTAGCATGGTTCTGTTACAGTGACAGGCACATAGACCAATGGAACAGAATTGAGAACCCAAAAATGGACCCAACTATCTGCAGTCAACTTACATTCAAGGAAATCAAACCTATCAACTGCAGAAATGACAACCTCTTCAATATATGGTGCTGGCAAAACAGGAATGCTAACTGCAGAAACCTATCACCTCTCACACCATACAAAAATCAACTCAACGTGAATCAGAGACCTGGGAATAAAGCCCCGCCAAAAAGTTTGTAAGAGACAAACTGGGATCAAGCTTTGAAGGCTTAGTCTATGGTATAAAGAGATTGTCAAATACAACCAGAAATGTACAATCTGAAGAGAATAAAACTGAGGAATGGAACCTTCAAAAGATTAAATCTGTGTGCTCTTCAGAAACTTTTTTCAACAGAGTGCAAATAAATCCTACTGACTGGGAACAAACATTTGGCTATACCATCTCAGACAAGATTCTCATAGCGAAAGTTTACCAAATACTCCTGGGCCTCCAGAATAATCCAATTAGAAAATGGTAAGACACATGGAAAGAATTTCACAGAGAGGACATTCAGATGACCCACAGACAAATGAAGAAATGATCAAAATCACTGGCAATAAGAGAGATGCAAAACCACAATGAAAACCACAGTAGCAGTGGCAAAGTTTAACAGGACATCAAGAAATGTTGGAAAGGATGTGGTGAGATAGGAACTCGTACACATAGTTGGTAGGATTATAAAATGGTACAACCACAGTTTGAAACTTCCTCAGAAAGCTGAATATGGAAATTCCATATGACCCAGCTATTCCACTGCATGGAATATACTCTGAGGAAATGATAACTGAGACACAGAGACTTGTACACCAATGTTTATAACAGCGTTACTCAGCATCGCAAGAACTTGGAAACAGCCCAGATCTCCAATGACAATGGAATGGATTGAGACCACAATGGAATGGATTGAGAAATTATGATACATTCATACTATGGAAAGTATGTAAGGCAGCATGGAGGAACAATGATTTTATAAATTATTACCTAACTTGGGAGGGACTGGAAAGTATTATTCTAAGCAAACTAATACTGTAAAAGACCAGAAGACAAATACTATAAAAGACCATTATTGTAGAACAAGTACAGGGATCCAAGATGGGGAGTGGGGAGCAGAGGGGTGATAATGGGCCAGGGGCAAGGGAGTGCTTAAACATAGGGTTGCACAATTTAATGGATAGAGGGAGGAGTGGGTAAAGGAAAGGGATAAGATACCATGTGAAAAACAATATATACAAACTTTATAAGGGAACCTGTATAAAATAAGATTTAAAGAATTTTAAAAAGAAAGAAAAAATACAGATCAAAACTAACAAACAAACAAAAAGAATATTGCTGGAATCAGGAACACCTTAGTCCTCAAACTGACAACATTACTATTTAATATTTGGAGAGGTCCTTGACTACAGGCTTTTTCAGTGCAAAATATATTCTAATTTTTAGACTGCTGATACTAAGTGTATTGATTTTAGTTACAATTAAGATGAACTTATTGACATTTTCATTCCTCTCTCCATTTATGATGTTGCCCAACAGTCCACTATTGAGAATTTGTCTTTTCTTGATATTGAGATGCAGTCCTTATTGAAGACTGCAGTGTTTGATCATCTTCAAGCACTTCATCAAATTCAGGTTCTGCCATTTGCGTAACATACTGATGAGTTTTCCTCCAATCCTGATACCAAATAGATGAATAGTAACATATTAATTCAGGAATAAACCAATACGCTCAATGACTCTCAAGTGCTTTTGATCATATTAATTTTACTGGATTTAATTACAAGCCTAGATTTTATTCAAAGTAGTTTTACACTTACTGATTTAGACAAGCTTCTGGCCTTGGATTGTTTTTCTAAATAAAGGAATCAAGCACTGAGATGTTAAAACTAGTTAGAAATCATATCATCACATGGATTTTTCTCTTTTATCCATTCTGCAGGTGGGACACAGAGATTACCACGCGCTATTGGAATGTCTCTGGCTAAAGAACTCATCTTTTCTGCGCGTGTGTTAGATGGCCAAGAAGCCAAAGCAATAGGCTTAATTAGCCATGTTCTAGAACAGAACAAAGAAGGAGATGCTGCCTACAAAAAGGCCTTGGACCTAGCAAAAGAATTTTTGCCACAGGTATTTCTATTCATCTTTCCTTTCCACCCACCCCCCAAACCTCACCTATCAAAAACAAACTAACAGAACAAGGTGTCTCACATATCTGATGTCTCTCTGGCTTACATCAAAGGTAAAGGAATATATGTTGTTGTTAAGTGCCGTCTAGTCACCTCTTAGCGACCCTGTGTACAACAGCCCTAAACCCTGCTCTATCCTGTGCCAATCTTATTTTCTCTGACAAATCTACCCCAATTACCAAATCACTGAGTAAATCCATTTCATCAAGGGCCTTCCTCTCTTGTGTTGTTTCTCTACCATCCCAAGCATGACGTACATCTCCAAGGACTGGTCCCTTCTTGCAACGTATTCAGAGTTTCTCAGATGAAGCTTCAGAATCCTTTACCTTCAAGGAACAGCCTGGTCTCACCCTCGCTAGAACAAATTTGTTTGTTTTTCTAGCAGTCCGTGATATATTGAATATTCTTCTCCAGCACCATTGGTCAAAGGCATCAATTCTCATACTGTCATCCCTGGTCATTGTCCAGCTTTCTGATGCATAGCAAGCAAGTAATTGCAAAGACAATGGCCTGGATCAGGTGCACTGTCTATCATGATGCTGCCAGTTGGCCCAGTGGTAAAAATCTCTGTTTTTTAAATACTAGTTTATTTCAAAAATTAAAATACATTGATTTTTACACCAGATCCTTCTCATTTACCTCATGCTACCCCACCCATCAAATATTATGTATGTAGTATGACCTCATGATTAATCTCCACCCCCACACCTCCTCACCCATCTGCTTCCACTCTCCAGTAGTGGTTATACCATTTTACACTCCCACCAGCAGTGAATCAGTGTTCCAATTTCTCCACAGCCTTGCCAGGATTTCTTGTTTGCTGCTGTGCTGATCTTTGGTATTGTTAGTTGTTGTTGTTGTTGTTATTGTTATGTGCTGTCGAATCGCTTGTGACTCATAGCCACCCTATATACAACAGCCCTAAACTCTGCTCTGTCCTGTGCCAATCTCACTGTCCCTGACACACCCATCCCAATTACCCCAGTCACCGAATCAATCTACCTCCTAGAGGGCCTTCCCCTCATGCACCTGCCCTCCACCTTCCCAAGCATGATGTCCTTCTCCAAGGACTGGTCTCTGCTTACAACATGACAATAGTATATCAGATGAAGCCGCAGAATCCTTGCCTCCAAGGAGCAGCCCAGTTTGACCCTCTCCAGGCTGAATCTGTTTGTTTTCTTAGCAGTCCATGGTAACCTCAGTACTCTTCTCCAACACTAAAGCTTAAAGGCATCAATTCTCCTAATATCTTTCCTAGTGATTATCCAACTCTCTGATGCATAACAAGTGACTGCAAAGACCAAGGCCTGTATCAGACGTACCTTAGGCTCCAGAGAAACACCATTGCTCTTCAGTACATTAGAGAGATCCCTAACAGCAGACTTTCCCATTGCAATACGTCTTTTAATTTCCTGGCTGCTGGTGCCAAGAGTGTTGATTGTGGAGCCACGCAGACTAAAGTTGTTAAGAATAGCGATCTCTTCACCACCCATCCTGATGCTGCCAGTTAGTCCAGTGGTGAGAATCTTTGTCTTCTTGACATTGAGCCTCAATCCATAATGAAGGCTGCAGTCTTTGACCCTCTGCAGCAAGCGCTTCAGGTTCTCCTCAGTTTCAGCAAGCAGGGTTGTGTCATCTGTGTAACGCAGATTGTTGATAGATCTTCCACCAATCCTGATGCCACACTTCTCCTCACAGAGCCCAGCCTCCCGGATGATCTGTTCTGCATACAGGTTGAAAAGGTATGGAGAAAGGACACATCCCTGATGTACGCCCCTCCCAATTTTGAACCATGCAGTGTTTCCTTGCTCTGTTCTGACAACTGCCTCTTGGTCCAAATATAGGTTTCGCATTAGCACGATCAAGTGTTCTGGTATTTCCATTCTTCTCAGTCAGCCACAGTTTGTTATCATCCACACAGTCAAACGCCTTTGCATAATCAATGAAGCACAGATACACATTCCTACGGTACTCTATTTTCAGCCAAGATCCATCTAACATCAGCTACAGTATCCCTAGTACCATGACCCCTTCTAAACCCAGCCTGGACTTCTGGCAGTTCTCTGCTGATGTGCTGTTCCAGTCGTTTTTGGATAATCTTCAGCAGAATCTTGCTTGCATGTGAAATCAATGATATAGTTCTATAGTTTCCACACTCTGTTGGGTCACCTTTCTTTGGAATGGGAACAAATATAGATCTCTTCCAGTCAGTTGGACAAGTGGTTGTAGTGGGATCAGATGATATTTCATAGTTGTTTTGAATTGTGTCTCTCTAAGAGCTAGGGATTTTAAACATTTCTTAATGTGTTTGTTGGCTATCTAAATGTCTTCTTTAGTAAAGCATCTGTTCATATCCTATGCCCATTTTTCAATTGGGTTATTTACTTTATCTTGTTGTGGTGCTCGAGTATTTTAGCAATTCTAGATGTAAGTCCCTTGTCTGACATGTCATTACCAAATATTTTTTCCCAGTCTGTGGCTTCCCTTTTTACCCTGTTGGAGAACTTTTTAGATGTACATAGGGATTTGATTCTTAGAAGGTCCCATTCATCTATTTTTTCCTCTCCTGGTTGTAGATTTTTCACGATACTTGGAAAACTGTTTATGTTGTGGATTAGGACTTCTAGAGTTCTTCCAAGCTTTTCTTTAATGAAATTTATAGTCCTTGGTTTTAGTCCTAGGTCCATGATCCACTTTGAGTTGGTTTTTTTTTGTATGGAGAGTGAGGTATGGATCTTGCTTGAGTTTTCTATAAGTAGTTTTCCAACTTTACCAGCAACATTTGTTAAAAAGGCTATTGTTTCCCCACTTAACTGATTTCATCTCCTTGTCAAAAATCAGTTGACCGTAAGTGGATGGGCATATTTCTAGATTCTCAGTTCTACTCCATTGATCTATGTGGCTGTCATTGTATCAGTACCATGCTGTATTGATCACCACAACAGAGAAGTTGGATTTGAAATTAGAGTGAGGTGCCTCCTACCTTGTTTCTCTTTTGAAGGAGTGCTTTGCTTATTAGGGGCCTCTTTCCATTACAAATGAAATTAGAGATTGCCTTTTCCATCTCATTGAAGAATGGAATTGGTATTTGTCTTGACCTAGTGTGTTGTGAGAATCTTTGTTTTCTTGGTATTGAGTCCCAATCCATACTGAAGAATGCAGTCCCTGACCGTCCACAGCAGGTGCTTCAGGTCCTCTTCAGTTTCAGTAAGCAAGGTTGTGTCACCTGCATTACACATATTGTTGATGATCCTTCCTCCAATCCTGAGTTCACATTTCTCCTCATAGAGCCCAGTGTCCTGGATAACTTCTTCTGCATAAAGATTGAAAAGGTATGGAGGCAGGATACAGCCCTGACATACACCCTTCCAAATTTTGAACCATGCAGTGTTTCCTTGCTCTGTTCTGACAACTGCCTCCTGGTCCAAGTATAGGTTTCGCATTAGCACAATCAAGTGTTCTGGGATTCCCATTCTGCTCAGACTTAGCCACAGTTTGTTATGATCCACACCGTCAAATGCTTTTGCATAATGAATGAAACAAAGGTACACATTCTTCTTGTACTCCTTGCTTTCAGCCAAGATCCATCTTACATTAGCTACAATATTCCTAGTACCACAGCCCTGTCTAAATCCATCCTGCACTTCTGGTATTTCTCTGTTGATGTGATGTTCCAGTTGTTTTGGGATAACCTTCATCAAAATCTTGCTTGCCTGTGATATTAATGATATTGTTCGATAATTTCCAGACTCTGTGGGATCACCTTTCTTTGGAATGGGAATAAATATAGATCCCTTCCAATCAGTTGGCCAAGTGGTTCTTCTCCAGATTTCTTGGCATGACTTGGTGAGCAAATCTAGGGCAGCATCTGTTAATTGAAATGTGTCTGTTGGTATACCATCAATTCCTGGGGCCTTATTTTTAGCCAATTTTTCAAAGCAGTCTGAACTTCTTCCCTCATCACCATAGGCTCTTGCTCATATGTTGTTTCATTAAATTCTTCTGTGTCTGCCAATTCTTTTTGGAGTAATGACTCTGTATACTCTTTGGATCTTCTTTTATACTTGCAGGATCACGCAATATTCTGCCCAAAGCATCCTTAAGTATTGCAACTCAAGGCTTGAATTTCCTCTTTAGTTCCTTGAGCTTAAAAAATGCTGAGCTAGTTTGGCCTCTTTTATTTTCTGACTCCAGCTCTTTGCACATGTCATTATAATACTTTACTTTGTCTTGTCACACAGCCTTTTGAAATCTCCCATTCAGGTCCTTGATGTCTTGACTTCTTCCTTCTGCTTTGGCTTCTTAGCATTCCTCTCTTCTGACATCCGTTTTGGTCTTTTCTTCTTCCTCCATCTTTGCAGTGACTTTTTTCACTCTTCCTAGATGATATTCTTGATATCTTCCCATAACTCATCTGGTCTTCGCTCATTAATGTTCCAGGCTTCAAACCTGTTCACAGTTTTGGTTTGCTTGGATCCACAGTCAACACTCTTGGCACCAGCAGCCAGGAAATTAAAAGACGTATTGCATGGGATAGTCTGCAGTTAGAGACCTCTCTAAAGTGCTGAAGTGCAAAGATGTCAGTCTGGAGACTAAAGTGCGCCTGATACATGCCATGGTCTTTGCAATCACTTTCTATGAGTTGCAGAGCTGGACAATGATTAGGAATGATAGAAGGAGAATTGATGCCTTTGAGCTGTGGTGTTGGAGAAGAGTATTGAATATACCAGGAATATCCCTGCTAGGAAAATGAACAGGTTTGACCTGGAGAAGGTGAAGCCAAGCTACTCCTTGGAGGCAAGGATTCTGAAGCTTCGTCTGACATACTTTGGACATGTTACAAGGAGGGATCAGTCCTTGGAGAGGGACGTCATGCTTGGGAGGGTGGAGGGACAGCGCAGGAGAGGAAGACCCTGGATGAGATGGATTGATTCAGTGACT